TTTATATTTAAATAATAATATAAAAAATAGATATATACTTTTTTATTCCATGCACATATTTATATTAAAAATAAAAATCTAATTGCTTTCTTATTTACTAAATATTGTTTTATAATTTTGATTATTAGTTTTGTTCCTATATCAGTACTTTGAAAAAAAAGTATTTGAATTAATTGAAATAATTTGAATTCTGATTGAAAATAAACAAATCAAAATTTTCTGGTTGAATCTGTATTATAATTCTCCTTAAGATAACTAAAATTTTTATTAGTATAATCAGAATCTTCTGGTTTGTTCATTTTCAATTAGAAATTTTTCTTGTGTAATTTTCATTTCAATCATGTAGTTAGACAATAAGGAAAGGCAAATTCGAGTGTTAATATTTTAAGCAATCATTGGTAACTGCTAGCGACGTTCTTGGCGTTTCTACGATTGGAAGCGTCGTAATGTTTTAACGTTCTCGGTGAAGGCGGAGCGCAGACGCTTTTGCTGAAAGTGAAAGTCGTAGGTTTCGATGGTGCCATGTTAACTTTTACATTCTCTATCTAGGAATGTGCACGCGTCGGCCGACTTACAGTCGGTCTTGAAATATATATAAGATGCCAGGTGTTTACGAAAAAGTAACATTATAATAAACAACAAATAATACATCACAACAAATAATACATGTTATAAAATTTCAATTAACGATTAATTCATTATTATATTATTTCAAGAAAATTATAAATTATATTTATGAAATCTCTGATCATAGTATTATCATAGTATTATTCTTTCTTTTGATCTACACGTAATAGGTTTTCTACAATAAGTCATTATCTAAGCTTTAAGTCTTAAGCTATAAGAAATTAACCGATCATAATTAATTTTCTTCTCACATTCAACTGTGATTGGTTAATTTCTTATGATTTAAAATTTAGATAATAGCTTATTGTAAAAAACCCATAAGTGATTTAACATTGTATTTAATCGTTTATAATAAATAAAAATTATTAAATTATTAAATAAAACATATATATGTATATATAAAACATATATATGTATATATAAAACATATATATATATATATATATATATATATATATATACACACATGCATATATTATATATACACATATACAAAATAATATGATAGAAAATGTTACATAAAAAACTATAGATACAGAATATATCGCTATGTTTTATGTTTTCACATGTAAGAAATAACAATTTAAGATCACATATTGTTATACATTTATCTTTGTGTGTGCGCGCGCGCACGTGTGTGTGTGTGTGTGTGTGTGTGTGTGTGTGTGTGTGTGTGTGTGTATGAGATAAAGTGTAAAATATCAAATTATATTTATAGAATTACAACTAGTTTCAGTATTATTAAAAATATAATGTTAAAGTATTTAAGTATATATATGGCGTAAATATTACTGTTCTTATCTCTAAACCCTCTGTTTCTACTCGCTAATTTTATTTTTAATTCGACACGAAAGTAGGTTTCTAGGTCAAAGTATAATGATATGTTGAATAGAGACAACCAGTATATGCTGTCCTCCAGCTTCGATGGAGCTGTAAGAACGTTTTTTTTTTTTTTTTCGAAAAGACTTCGTGATCAAAAAACATATGCATATCGTTAAATTTATAAACCTAATTCATTGAACCTAAAATTTTGTGATTTTATATGTGTATTGAATCAAACTATGCATGTGCACATATATTGAATTAAATTAATAAAGAGAGAGGTAAAAATAAATATACTACTCTAGATTGCATTATTCACATTGTAAAATTAAACACATTGGTATAAAATATTTCTAAAACTTTAACTATATTATTTTTTAATTTGAAAATGCGTGTTTGTGTGAATAGGTATAACGATTATGAAATATATATA